GAATATCCAAGCTCAAAGGAATCTCAGAATATAGACTCTCAGAGCTGGCAGTGGAGTCGGGGTGGGGTGTAATTGGAACCCTTAGCATATAGAATGTCAGAGCAGAGAGGGGCCTTGGAACACAGAATATCAGTGATGGGAGGAATATGAGTGTGTAGAATGTCAGAGATGAAAGGGCATGAACTTAGGACACAAAATGTCAGAGCTGGGAGAGATGTTGGAACACAGAATATCAGAATTGGGAGGGACCTCAGAAAAAAAATAACATCAAAGCTGGGAAGAAACTGAAAACATACACTTCCCAAGCTGGCCTTATTGATCAGCCCCCTCATTTTATAGGTAAGAAAACAGAATGATGGAAGGAAGGGGACACGTCCAAGGCCACATCTAGTTAGAGCTCAGACCAAAGGTTCCTAATTAATCCAGCATTCCTTCTAGCAAGTCCTTTCTCTCCCTTATCCTAAACATGCCTGTAAATTACCTGGTTGCTTCATTCGAGTGAGTGCACCTGGCTCCTGGGGACATTATTTCTCACACACCCTACCCCAAACTTTGTTCAAGTTTACTTTCCAGATAGAATAGAAAGAACACTGGTTTGGGGACCTCAGCTCAAAATGGCTTTGCCACTTGTTTGACTCTCTGCAAATCACTGGCCCTCTCTGGGCCTCAGTTTTCTCATCTGTAAAATGAGGGGATTAGCCAACATGAGTCCTAAAATCCCTCCCAACTACAATCTAAAATTATAATCCCATGACAAATTGGTACTAGAAGACAGGGTCATAATTTTAGGTATCTCTGTGCCAAAGACCACACAGCAGCCCTATCCCTGTTCTACCAAACCACCCAGCTCCCAGGTCTTGCCTTCAACCTTAAAAGAGAGGGCTGATTGGTGCTTAAGGAAGAAAAAGGTTCGGGGTAGCAGCAGCCAGAAAGATGACACTCCAAGAATGTCTCTAGCCTTGGCTTCAGTGACCCCCCACCTTCAAGGGGTCATGACAAGAAGCATGAACCCAGAGCATGACGTAGTGAAGAGAACATTGTGTACTTGCTCAGCCTGGTAAGTCCTTTGGCATTCCCATCACCTAGGCTCGATAGATGGGGTCCAGGGTAGTCATGCCTTAGACCAAATTCTTTCAGATAAACATTTGCCAGGATTTCTCAGGAAGGTACAACCCACTCTCCCCCCTTTTTTTCCACATCCCTTCCCATCCAGCCTGGAAGATACACCCACATCTGAGTGCCCTGTATCTTCTTAACCCAGGCTGAGATCTTGAGGGGGAAGAAATTAAGCTTTTGAAATTGCTTAGATTTTTCTGGGTGAGAAAAAGCCATCAATAGCTGGGTTTGCTTCTCTGGAGCAAGTTTGTAATCTGCATTGCTTCTAGTCTGATGTTTGACCCCCTTTCCTACCTCCCCTAGCCTTTGGCTCCTGGGAAAGGTACACAGTCAGTCCTGGAGGCTGCCAAACCTACCAGGCTTTTTCTCGGGGCCTTTCAAGTGCAGCCGAAGCCAGCAGATGCCTTTCTATTGTAGCCTATTAAATTAGCCCCTCTACAGTCAAAAGGAGATAATTATGTTTTCATTAGCCCTGGATAATGTATTACCCCCCTCAGTGGCAGCAGCCATAGCAAACTGGAGGGCAGCTGTGTCAGTGGCTGACCAGCAGCTCAGGGAGACTTGGACCTCGGCCTTTACTGGGCCATGATATGTGTCCTGGAGAGTTTATGGTTGGAAGAGGGTCAGGAACCAGCAGGGGAGAGGAAAGGAGGGATGATCTCTCCCCTGCCCTCTCACTTCTCACACATTTCCCTTCCCCATTGTCTTTACCATACACAGGTAGAGTCACTCCTAAAGGGGGCAGGGCCCTGAGCAAACCATACTCCCACCCTCAATGTGTTTATCCATCGTGGTTAAGGGAAACATTGAATGAGAAGAGGTCACAGAGGTATAGAATGGAGTTGGAGAGAAGCAGAGAAAGGTTGATCCTACCTAACAATAACAATAACTAGAATTTACAGGGCACTTTAAGGTTGGCAAAGTGCTTTGCAAATGTCTCATTTGATCTTTACAACAATTAAGGGAGGTCAGTGCTGTTATTATCCCCATTTTTTTACATGAAGAGACTGAAGCTATGTGATTCTTCCAGAATCACAAAGTTATAAGTGGCTGATGCAAGATTTGAACTGGGACTTCCTGCTCCCATGTTCAGCTCTTGATACACAATACCATCTAGCTTCCTACTTCTTTTGATGGCCAGAATGGTAGGGTGAGATGCTGGTAGCATTTAGCCTCATTTTTTTAGCACAAGCTAGGGATGCCTCTTTGGGTACAGCAGTATTAACTAGGGATACCTCCTTAGATCAATGTCCAGCAGTATAACATCCTCCTTGCCAAAGAGAAAAATGGAGGGCCGAGGGTGATGGCCATATTCTGCATATGACTAAGTATGCTGGAATATATTCACATAAACACCCTTTCTATGTGTCAGAGATAAACTCTCTACCCTAGAAAGAAAACTGAAGTCTAATATAGATAGAGTGGGCTATAGACCATCCATCCAACCTACACATATACTCGCCCCTTATTATGAAATCAGAAGATAACATAGTTATAGCTAGAAAAGACCTTCAAGGTCATCCAGTCCATAACCTTCATTTTACAGAAGAAGAAACTGAGACCCAGAGAGGTTAAGCCAATACCCAAGCTCACCCATTACTAAGAGACGTAATCAGAATTGAACCCAGGCCCTCAGACTTTAAATCCAGTACTCTTTCTTCCTAAGCTCTGACATATTTGGAGGTTTCCATATTCCTGGGGCATTGACTGCACGCTCAGTAATGGCCCTGTTATTTTGTTTGTTTTAAACCCCCCAAAGGGAAATTGCTGGGCTCAGAGTGGCCTTTTTTTGTTTCCTTTTTCCCCTGATCCATCATGTGTGGGAACATCCCCAAACCTCCAGAGTCAATGGCACCCTTACCCCATACCTAGAGAAGTTTGCGGCTACCCTGCCCCCAGCCTTCTTTGGCCCCATCAGAACAGCAGGTATGCCAGGAGGAGGGCTCCCTATTGGCTTGGGCCCAGACCCCCAAGTGGTCCCAGGGCCTGTTTTGATCAGGTGAACTGCCAACTCTGTGGAAGAGCTGTTTCCTTGTACTGTTTCCTTTTTATTTTTCCCGGTTGCCATGGTAATTGGGGGAGCAATTTACCAAGGCTGACGATGGTGACACAGCTGAAGCCTGGCTCTCAACTTTCAAACAGCTCAGGCAGCCAGGTGAAGATGAGCCAGACGGAAGGAGATTGGGGCAGGAGAGAGAACAGCTTAAGGATCCGGCACATCTCTTTTCTTCCTAGGGCTCCCCACACAACCTAGAGGGTGGGAGGTGACTTTAGGCCCTGGCTCCAGCCATCCCTGACTCACAAATGCATTTTTTACAGCACACACACATACCTGATTATTGTTTAGTCTTTCCACTCATTAGAAAGTAGATTTCAAACATTCCAGTGCCTGTCCCCTGAGTCATTTCTCATTTCTCCTGGGCTGATGTGAAAAAGATTTGAAAAGAATATATTAATGACAAAGTGGTGTGTTGAGTTGTAGGTTTTGTTTGGAATCTGGAAGGCCTTTGTTCTTGTGGTTGTGTGCGTGTGTGTGTGTGTGTGTGTGTGTGTGTGTGTGAGAGAGAGAGAGAGAGAGAGAGAGAGAGAGAGAGAGAGAGGAGAGAGAAAGAGAGCTCCCATGCTTCTTCAAGCATTTGAGTGGGCTCGATTTTCAACAGGAGGCACAAGACTGGAAAGTGGGAAAGATCAAGTTAGAGGTGAACCAGAAAACTCAGGTGCTTTGTATATGTGATTGGGCTGGAGAAGAAAAAAAAAACTTCCAGTTATTGCATTACCTTCACACACAGAGAGACACATAGACACACACACACACACCCAAAAACTGTAACCCTGCTTCTCCAAGAGTGTATGAAGAGCAAAGAAAGTGATACAGAGACTCATTATAATCTGCCAAAAAAAAAAGACAGCTTTCAAACGGGGTGTATTCAGTCACCCATATGTCAGGGCACTTGTGAAAATGAAGGAAGCCTGATTCTTAGCTATTTCCCTCTTTCTCTTCTCTCTAGCCTCTCTCCTTCCTCCCAGGACGATGCTGAGCAGGAAGGATCCCGGTCAGACCACTGTCTTAGCATCTTTCCTCACCTCCCTCACTGGGGAGAAGGGGGTTGAGATGAAGGCCATCCCTATGGGCTGAAAGAGGCAAATATGTTCCAAAAGGGACTAATAATGCTGGCATGTTGAAAGTGTTGATTGTGAAACTAAAGTCTGTATGGCTGTGGATTTAGGGCATAGCAAGTATCCAACCCAAAATCCCCACAGCCTCTCGAGTTGTCCTTAAGTGATTCCACCCTGGACAGTGGGACACTGGTTCTTAATACCAGCTTTGTACATTTAGGTAGAGGTGGGGATAGTGGCCACCAACAATTCAAATTTCCAGAGGACTCCCTCCCCCACCCCTTGATTTCTGCCCTTTCTTGATCAGAAATACAATTTTAGTTTGAGGGCTTTATTTATTTTTTTAATATATTGTTAAGCAACAAAAAAATTAACATCTTCTAAAGAGAGAAAAAACTAGGAATGTCAACAAGTCCTGGACATTGGGGGGGGGGCGATTAGCTGGGGGAGGGAGGCGGGCCTAAAGGAGCACTTAAGAGGAGTAAAGGGTGGAGAAAGAAAAATCTTTAAAAATGAGCTATCGTTTCTTAAGAGTTCCCTAATTGGAAAAGAATTGAGGGGTATGTGTGTGTGTGTGTGTGTGTGTGTGTGTGTGTTTCCTGATACGGGAAAAAAAATGGAAATTAGGTTATATAAAAGATGTATGCCTTTGAGTCCAGAGAGCTTCTCTTAATGAGGGTGGCTTCGTCTCCCCCTCCACACCCATAAAATGGGCTGGTTGGACGTCAATGTTAATTTGTTTCAGTGATGATATTAAAAAGTAAATTCCCCCTCACGACCCTAGCTGAGCTCATCACTGGGTCCCTGTCCCTACATATTTAAACTGCATTTTCATCTCATGGCTAGAAGACACTTAGTGCTCTGACGGGTGGAGAGAGCCAGCACAGGAGGGAAGAGGAAAGCAGAAGCCGGTGAGAGAAGGGACCACCCTTGCTCCTTCTGGGAGACTGGGGAGAGCACAGCATTCTAAACTCCGGCTTCTAGGGAGGAGTGAGATGAGGGCAGGGGGTGGGGTTGGGTGGGGTGGGGGTGGGGGAAAGAGAGATGGGGGTGGGGAGTGATCTTGGAAAGCACAAATCAGATGAAAGGGGGGGAAACTGTGGCTGTCACCCATAGGTAAGGAGGTTTCCTTCCAACCTTGCAGCGTGCGTGGCTGAGAGTGGATGCCACCAGGTTCCAGGTCTGGCATCCTTGAAGTGAACCTGAGACAGAGTAGAGGAGGAAGAGGAAGAGAAAGGACTGAAAGCAAGCAGACTGGTCGGCACGAAAGCTAGCTGAGGAGGCTTGGCTGGCACTCGATCTCCTGAAGCAGGTGAGTTGCCAGCTTGGACACCGTCGAGCTTAACACCCCCCCCAATCCCTCCCACCCATTCTTTGCAACTGGCTTGAAGCCTCCTGGCAAACCCGGGAGGAGAGGAGAGGAGAGGAACAGAGAAATTAGAGAAGGGGGGGGGAATAAAACCCAACTTTGTGTCTCCCCCCTTCTAGTCCACCCCCTCCTCTAGACTCCTTAGCATGATGCCCAGGCTGGAAAAAGACTTAGAAGGGTGGTCCAGCAGGGGAAGGGTGCAAGATTGGAGCTGGGGAGAGCAGGGCTCCAGAGCTATTTTGCTACCAACTTTGTGAGGATCCCCTCTCCCCATAGCCCAGGCTGGGGGAGGGGTGAGAGAGGGGCTCTTTGGTAATGCTCTTCCTCTCCTTCCCCCCACCCCACCACCCCACCACAGCACACATACACACACATACCAACCGCCTTGGATTTCCCTCCTCAGGGAATTGGGGCTACGGGTGGTAACAGATGGGATGAAGGGACTAGATACTCGTGCATTAATTTACCTGATAAAAGTTGTTCCCTTTCTCAGGAAGGGAGAGGTTTCCCCAGGATAAGAGCAGAGCTCCCAGACTCGCAGGTTGTTTGCACTCCTCGCCCCAGGCGGACGGGGAGCTTCAGGTTCCTAGCTCACATCTGGGAAGCCGCTGACCCCCACTGCTGCCTCAACCTCTAGCAGAAACCTCTCCACCCCCGCCACTGTTGCCCGGGCGGAGTCGGCCCGGCTAAGCCAGGGTTTAGGGGAAGGGAAATGACCCAGGCATGATGGATTCCCTTCCTGGGAACAGGGGAGGCGGAGCAGGGAGCCCCTGGGGAGAGCTAAACTTTCCGACTGGCCCTAGGTAATCCTTGGGGATAGGTCTGGGGTGGGAGCGAGAGGAAGGGGCACAAGCGCTCAGAGCTAGACTGGTAGAGAAATGCCAGCGACCCCAGGGTTTATATTGGGGTCTTCTCCCTAATGAGGCAGTAGTTTCGGGGGTCCTCCTCATCTCCACCTTCAGAGGACAAAAACAGGAGCAGGACTGGGCTGCCTTCGAATGGTACAAAGTAGGGGAAACAGATAAGAGAGGTGGGGATTTTTTAAGGTGGGGCATTCCCCCTTCAGTGCGTATCTTGAAGCATTAGGCAGGAAGAGGTTCCGCTGTTGTGGCATCTGATTCCTCAAATCTAGTAACCTCAAGGTTGGGGGAGGGGGACATAGAGGGAGTAAAGGAAGGGAAACTGGCTGCGACCTCCTCTAGTCTTACCGCAGTTGACTGTCAGCTGGACTACTGTCACCTGTAGGTTAGGGTTAGTGGCTATGTCTACAATTCAGGAATTGCTGTCTCCCAAGCCTCTTAATTTGGGATTCCTGCAGTTGCTTGACTTCTCTCTCTCAGCTTAGGAAAAGGTGGCTAGGTGCCATGGCCCAGGGAGCAAGTTTAGGTATTCCCAAGGGAAGCAGAATGGGGAAGGAGTGCAACAGTCATTCAAAACTCATCTCTATCCCTCCTGGGTTGTGTCTGTGAAGGAGAGCCGAGGATCAGGGAGAAGGGTAAAAGAGGCTCATGCACTGCCACTGAGGGTCAAAAGCCAAGAAAAACAAAAGGCCAGAAAGGACCCCAAAACCCAACAGGCAGGGTGGTAGAACTGAAGGGTCCACACAAGGCTAAGTGGAAGAAAATACAGACCCAATTAGTTAAATAGTACCGGCTACAGGAAGACTTGAGTATGTATGGCCTCCTTCTTCACCTGGGGCATACTTATCTCCAGTTCTAGGCTGTTTGTCTCAAAGTGTTGGCTTCCAAAACAAGAGCAACCCAAGTGCTATAGCAGTCTGTGATGAAAAGATCAGCCTTAATTAAAAAAAAAGCCAGGAATCACCCCCCCCAAAAAAAAACTCCAGAGGTACAAGAAAAAACTTTATGTGCCCTACTGTTGAAAGTTGTTGAGTAAACACCCCATCTTTGTTCTATTAGTTCAAATCACTTAGGATCGTAGATTTGGAGCCATAAGGCACCTTGGAGATCATTTAATGCAACCTCCTCTTTTTACAGATAAGGAAATTGAGGCTCAGTAAGGGAAACTGACTTGCCCAAAGGTAGGAGAGCTAAGATTTGAACCTGTGCTCTGACTAAATCCTGTGCCCTTTCCAGTGTTCTTGATGGGGGCTATCACAAGAAGTGAGAATCTGGAATTCTTATGGTTAAAATAACCCTAGAGAGGCAGTGTGGTATGGTGGGATAACAGTAGGCCTTGAAGTCAGAAGAGCAACGTTTAAATACAGCTTCTGATTCCTTCTGGTTGTGTGATGCTGGGCAAGTCACTTAATCTTTCAGTACCTTGGGGCAGCTCTCTAAGACTGAGAGTTACAATTGAGTTCCCCAAAGCAGGAGTCCACAAATAGAGCATAAAATTATAGGACCAGAAAACTCTCCCCCAATAAATAAGTTAGCCCCTACCTGCAGATTAGTCTGTCTCTCTGGACATTTACACACACACACACACACACACACACACACACACACACACACACACACACACACACACACATAAACACACACTATTTTCACCCCCTCTTCAAAAGGAGGAAGAAGGCTCATGGAGGCTTATCAGGATCCAGGAGCTCAAGGGGATTGTGGAGTGATGGAATCAAAGATGGGATAGGAAGCTGGAAGTAGGAAGACAGGGAGAGGGCAGGAGTGTGGGTGCCTAAGTGTCTATGCACTCCAGATATAAGTTGGCTCCCAAAGTCACAGCAGGAAAATGAATGCCTACTGCATTCACTCCTCTGAGGTGGGTACGTGTTACCTCTGGGTCGATGGGCATTACTTGTCATCAGGGGCCACCTCCTGCCCATTTCTTAGGTCAGATTAGCCAGTCATGGGTGGGGTCGATCATTGAGAGGGTCTTGGAGAGAGAAAGGACATGGTAATCACATTCTTGACTCCATTTCCTGGGTTGGAAACAGCATGCCCTACCCCTAGCTCATAATTTCCCCCAATGGCTCCCTAGATTTTCCCTGGCTTTAGGACCACCAAAACCCCAGGAGCCTGCTCTGAGTGGGTCAGAATCTTTTTCTTGAATTCAGGCACCCATTTGCCCGTTTCCTTCCCCTCCCCCAGCCCCAATAAGCCCATGAACTTGTGCAAGTGGTGTATACACATGCACAGCCCCTGGTCCCAAGGATAAATAGTGCCCTATTATAAGATTCTCTGAAATCAGCAGGTTCTCCCCCTTTTGCTCCAGGGATAGAACTGGAAGCTCTTATCTGTGCAGGGAGGAGCCAGAACGGAGACCAGAGCAGAAGAGGCGGGAAAGGCAGAAGGAAAGGAAACCATCCCTGTTGTCTGGAGACAGTTTGGGGCTGTTAGTTGCCAGGGAACGTGGAAGCTATTCTCTAGGAGTCCAGGACAAGTCAATCTTTTGCTTTCTTTCTCTCCTTCAAATGGCCAAATTCTAAAGTCTCCAGACTTTGTGCCTTCCTGGATTAGAAAGGGGTTCATGAGTGCTTCGTACATTTGCTTGCACTTTGCTATCCTTATCTTGCATTTCCTGGCCAGTGCTCGCCTCCCAGGACCCCAGGGAAAAGGGTGTGAGTTGTTTAGTCTGGGCTGGAGTAGGAGCTGAGCTGAGCTGAGCTGAGTAATTCGCCCACACAGCTCTGCAGAGGCTACAGTGGACCCCAGAGCAAGGGAGCTGTCCGTGGTTCTGGATGGGCACTCTCTCTGTCCCTTGGTTGGTAAGGAAATTAGAGGCGAGGGCTGGTGTGCACCGAAATGGTCGAAAATGTGAGTATAATTTGTATACTGGGTATATATGTGTGACAGAATCCATTTGTTTGTACTGCTTAATTGTGAGTGAGTGAGTGTGTGTGTGTGTGTGTGTGTGTGTGTGTGTGTGTGAGAGAGAGAGAGAGAGAGAGAGAGAGAGAGAGAGAGAGAGAGAGAGATGGCAAATCTGTGTCTGTGTGAGTTTGTTCTAAGGAATGCTTGAGGTTCTGTGAGTTTGTGTTTTTGTGAGTTTGTTTTAGGGAACATTTGAGGTTCTGTGAGTTTGTGTATGGTTTTAGATGCTTTTTTATATGTCTGTATGTGTTTTGAACTGTGTGAGTCTGTATGTGTTTTGGGGAGAACATTTGCTAGATCCGTATTCTTTAGAATTAAACCATCCCACATCTGAATTTGGCAATTTGAAGTGTGGTTTCGAAAGATTAAAAGCTGGAAAACGGTGACGCTGGCTTTTACAATTCACCGCTAAGATTAATTTTGCATGGAAGGATGAGAGGGATTTCTTACCTAACCAGAAAAAAATCTGGAGTATTCCAGAGGAGGGCAACCAGGCTAGTGAGGGAACTGGATACCATACATACTACATTAGAATCATTTGAAAGAATCGGAAATGTCTAACCTAAAGAAGAGAAGTCTGGGGGAGGGGAGAGAAGAGAGCAGGAATGATGTGAGAAATAGCTCTCTTCAAGTATTTGAAGGCTGTCAAGGGAAGAGGGGGTAGATTTGCTTTGCTATCCTGAGAGGGCAAAACAAATCTCAATGAGTTGAAGCTACATAAAGGCAGATTTCAGCTCAATGTAAAGATAGATATTCTAATGATTAGAGCTGGCCCCAAAATGTAATGAATTGCCTTGTGAAGTAGTGGGTTCATCTTCACTGGAAGTCTTCTAGCGTGGGCTAGATGACTATATTGAGTATACTGCAGAGGGGATTTTTGCTCCGGTGTAAGTGGGACTTCATGACCTTTGAGGTTTCTTCCAGTTCTGAGGTTCTGTGATTCAGACCATTACTAGTTTGTGTGATTAGCCACAACCCAGAGAGGACATAATGTCTTTACAAAGGAACAGTATGGCTTGTCCTGTCTACATATACTACATATACATATGCTACAATAATAGCATATTTGAGTTAGAAGAGACCTTTGAGATCATCTAATTCAACCTCATTGTATGGATGAGCAAAATGAAGTGGAGACGTGAAATGACTTGTTCA